ATTCAGGGTGGCGCTGTCGACCAGCGTCGTCGAGCTGCGTATAGGGGGCTGCACTGGCAGCCCGGTTTGTGGCTGAATCGGGGAGTGCGGAGGAGATCTGAGGTCTGGAAGGTATAGGACCGATAGAGGATGAGCGTATAGCAGTGGGTGTAAAGGGTTGTTTAAAGCATCGATGTTTCGGAGGTGAAAGGCAAGAGGCAGCCCACGGGCAAAGGGTTCTCGATGGGAAAGGGAAGGCAAAGTCCAAGGTGTGAGAGTTTGGGGGGGGGCAAGAAAGGCCAGCCTTGGTCGTTGGATGGTCAAGCGCGCGTGTTTGGGGGTCGCTGCTACAGCTCGTCAGTGGCTTCCAAAAGGCTTGCGTGGCGGGGTGAGGAATGCCGTGACAGGGTTGCGGCAGGACGTGTTTCATTTGCTGGGGGCCCAGCGATCCGAGGCGCCGCGAAGGCTGTTAGAAGACCGTCCTCATCCGATTCGGTCGCGCTCGGCCACGACCTCCGTGGCCAGGCAACGTCTACTTGGCGCGTGGCCCTCTTTGCAACCCGTCCATCTCGTCTTTCATCAGCCATCGAGTCAACCACTACGGCGAGGTGGCCGCCCAACTTGGCAATCCATAATCCTTGTGCATTGTCAATACTCAGGCTGCCTTGTACAGGGATTTGATTGTCTACAGCGTCACCAAGTGTCAAGCCAAACAAAAACGCCTAAAGCCGTGCCGTCCCGCCTGCCGCATCGTTCAGGGTTGCCCAAGTGTTCCTCACAAAACTGCGGCAGATCATCATGCCGTGTTGTTCATACATCCCTTGTGCCCACATCATCCGTCCTTTTGGCACCGAGTCGACCGAGGCCACCCGAACATGTTGGGAGAAAGAGAGAAGGGGAGAAAAGGGGGAAAAGGGGCAAAATGTTCTGATTATAAGAAGTGAAACCCTCCGCAAACGCGTCACACGATGCATCGCTTTGCCATGCAGTACGGAATTCAAAAAGGGTTGACATGCAGCAACCCACATCAAGTTGGGCCGCCGAAGCTTTTCATCAATCGGAATGACCACGCTAAACGCCGTCTCTGTTGATGAAAAGAAGAAAGAATGAGATTTGGTATCATGGAACCAGAAAATACGCCAGGAGCAGCAAATGAGGATATGATGTTTCCCAAACGCGGCGTTAGATGGCTCGAAAAGAAAGATGAAGAATGATCACATGTCCACTTAGGACTCGACCTTGGGGCGTTTTGCGTCACCGCCCGTGTCTGCGCTTTCGCCGCTGCCGATTTCAGGCGTTTTGCGCTTTGCGATCGGCGGGTTGTCCTCTCGCAGGAAACTGGGGCCCTGTCCCACCACGGGAGTCGCAAAGTTTAGCGGACTCGGTAACGTGTTGCTGTCGTTGCCGCCGCGCTGATACCAGTACGTGTCGAAGCTGCTTGGGCTGGGCAAGAACTCGTTGTTGAGGAACCGGGACGGGAGGGCGGAGACCGGTGTGTCAATGTTCATGTTGTTATTTTGCTGCGGCGCCGGTCGCGCGAACGGATTCGGCGGGCCTGTTGCACCCGCGGAGAGCAAGGCCGATGCAGAAGGGGAGGGCGGTGGAAGGACCATGTTGTTGGAGGCCTGGCCTTCTGGCCGCCGGGCCGCTTGTGTTGCGGCAGGATCAGCTTGCGTCCGTGGCGACTGCGTCTCGGAAGCACCAGTGGCAGTCTGTTGCTCGTCAGACGGTTCGTCGGGGATTTCGACTCGAAGGCGAGGCCGCGCCCCTCCACCGCCGCCAAGGCTGCCAAGCTTCATGCTGTTGGATCGCGATGGAGGCGTAAAAGTGGTTTCGGGAATAGCCGCAATGGACACATTGCGTCCCTTGCCCGGTCCTTGGGCGTCGGATTGTTGAGGGAGCGGAGGCGAGCTGGTGTGGCCGTTTGTCCTCGAAACCGCGCCAACATCTACCGACTGAGACCGGTTGACACTTTCGATCTTGACGCCGGCGTCCGACTTGGAGGCCGACGAATCCGCTGCAGCGAAAGAAGCAAGATGCTGTGACAGGATAGACGAA